GAGCTGAGTGAGAAGGTATGCGAAGAATCAACCGAAGGTCACACCAAAGCCAGCGTGAACAGGTTTTCAGCTGCTTTTTAAAGGAGACCACTGAGTCCACTGATCTCAGGCTCAGGGGGAGAGAGTTCCAGAGGCCTGGGGGCCACAGCAGCAGATGATCCGTTACATTTGGTCTTTAGCTTGGTGATGAAAATCATCCGACAGTTTAAAAATCCTGCCTTGGCCTTAGTTTTTACACAAATCCTTCAGGAATCGGTCAGATCTTACACAGACCCCTTTTTTCTGCTTCAATCCTACATATTCAGCTGCACAGCAGTGGGTAAGATGCTCTCAGGCCCCAGATTCCGGTCATGGCCGACCTATAGCAGCTCAGCGGGGTCACCTCTCCCACATTTCATCTCCTAAACACACAAATCAAACGGAGTCGCTCCCTAGCACTAAGGTTTTGGGTCTGAGTAGAAGGGGGAGGGTTGACTCAGAACAACTTGGGATCTGTCCTGATTTGGATTTGGCCTATTTGGTCTCGACTTCTCCAGCTGTAAGTTACTGAGGACAGAAAGAGATGACCGCAGTGTAATGCTTGTGATCGCCTCTAAACTTCAGCATTAGAAACAAACCGGTTTTTACTTGATTAACGCCTCTTTAATCAAGTTTTATGTAAACAAGATCTTGCTTTTTCCAGGTTAGACACCGATTGACAGACAGATTAAAAATTGTAACCAAATCCAAAATCCTTATACAATTTTTTAGCTAAATTGATGAATTTCAAAATAAATGTACAAATAATAATCAAAAAAAGCTCACACGTTCCCAAATCTACATGAATTAAAAGGCTTTCTTGATATATCTATAATTACGTCTTTGGGGTCAGAGTAAGGTGGGAGGTTGCTGCCTTGTGTTTAGAGATGAGAGCAGATAACACAACAGACTCAGAAGCCACCACATGCTACTGCTGTCAAACTGGGACAAACCAAAACTTTTCAAACAGAAGATGACAGCCAAAGGGGCAGAGTTTAGTTAAGCCTAATTCTTTAATTTTTTTGTGTGTAAATTTTTAATTGATTTGTTATATTTATACAAGGAGGCTGTAGTGTGCAGTGGCTAGCGCTGTAGCCTTGCATCAAGAAGATCCTGGATTCAGATCCTGGCCTATGGGTCTTTCTGCAAGGAGTTTGCATGTTCTCCCTGTGCATTGTTGATCTCTCCTCAGCCTACAGTTCTGTGTCTCTCTACTCACGAGCTTTTGGAGACAGCAGAATATTTGAAGGAGCAGCAAAGCTAAATGCACAAAGGTGTCAAAATCCATTTCAGGAGACTTAAAAATAGGAATCTTTGTTAAAATTCCTGATCTGAAAAAATCTTTATGAAGCTAAAATTTTCCAGATCAAATGTTATTCTTTCCGTCCACGAATATGACATCCTTCCATTAAAATGAGATTTAGAAACGGTCCTTTAAGCCAGATTTCAAATTTTAATGAATTTGTTCAATTATTACTAAAAGGAAAGAGATAAACTTTCTCCATCACAAATACCAGATGTGCATTCCATTGTTCCTTACAACCTGCACTGGTTTATTTTATAAAAGGATGAAAATACTTTCAGCTTTTTATGAGCCACAAAACAATGTGTAGCATCTTTTTTTTTCTTTTTTGTATTTTGAATTGGTCTTTTCATACAGTTTTTTCTGAATATTCATTGACTTTTCTGTTTTCTTTCTTTCCCACATCTGCACGGACCATAAACCAGCCTGTTTGTCTGTGTGGTGGTGCAGCGCTGCATGCTCAGTGGAGGGATACAATCACAAACATACAGGATGGTTGTTTTCAGATTAATCCTGCCAGTTTTGGGTTTCCCTCTGCCGAGCTCAGACTCTGGAGGAACGACTGCTGCTGCTGTTTGCTGCCTGTTGGGAAATTTAACAAATCACACATAAATGTTGCTATTTATGATCAGCAGGTGCACATTATTACCTTTCATTTGTTTTACAATTCGTAACTCACCAGAGATTAGAAATAAAACCACATATTTTTACTTTATCTTCTTTGTTCAAGAAATTGAAAACCTTTTGCTTGCTTGTGTATTTTATGCACACAAATGATTGTCAGAACTTATATTAGTATCACAAAGTTGTATTACACACACACACACACACACACACACACACACACACACACACACACACACACACACACACACACACACACACACACACACACATAAGGTTTTATATATATTTACTGAATGGAAATCTGCTTTTCCAGCAAAACCTTCTGGGCCTCTCAGATGCAAACTCACATCCATGTGCAGAGAAATTTAACATTTTAATTATTCAACGAATTTATACATTTTGGGTGGCGGCAACGGGCTGCACAGTGGAGCTGTTGCCTTGTAGCAAGAAGGTCCTGGTTCGATTCCCGGCCTGGGATCTTTCTGCATGGAGTTTGCATGTTCTCCCTGTGCATGCGTGGGTTCTCTCCGGGTGCTCCGGCTTCCTCCCACAGTCCAAAAACATGACTGTTAGGTTTATCGGTCTGTCTAAATTGTCCTTAGGTGTGAGTGTGTGTGTGTGCATGGTTGTTTGTCCTGTGTGTCTCTGTGTTGCCCTGCGATGGACTGGATCTCTGTCCAGGGTGTACCCCGCCTACTTGCCCATTGACCGCTGGAGATAGCCCCCCCCCCCCCCCCCCCCCCCGCGACCCTGCATGGACAAAGCGGGTTCAGAAAATGGATGAATGGATGGGTGGTGGCAACAAGTCATTCTGAGCTCTGATATTAAATGAACTGAACAGATGCAAATGGTTGACAGTTTCATGTGTAACTGATGGCGACTCATTGATGGTGACAGCTCGAATTCGCACATCAGATGTGATTCCTATCAGAAAGTGTGAACTGTTCATCCTGGCATGGACCAACGCTGCCTCCACACATCTGAATCCTGCTTTTCTTGCTTTTGAAGTATTGATAGAAAGCTAATATATAATTACAATTTTTTTAATATCTCTGGCATGTTCGGATGTTGTTATAAGTGTGTGACATCAAATAAGCAAATACGTTTAGCCCATATTAAATAAACAAATTAATTTCAGATTGAAAAATCAGAAAAAAGACAAAGTTGAAGGCTGAGCAGTTACAGTGCAGAAGGTGCAGCATAAGAAACATTCAAAGACTGATGAATACAATTGGGCACATTTGAGGTCAAGAGGAAGCTTATTCTATCTGTGTGCAGCATAGTAGCTAAAAGCAGCTTCACCCTGTTTGGGCTTGAAAATTTGCGGTACTTCTGCTTTGAGGTGCAGCTTCCTGACCTGCTCGTTCGAGAGCTAGCAAGTTTAACCTGTTGATTAATGCAGCATTGTTCAGCAGTTTACCTCCCATTGTTGTGGCACTGTTGCTGCTGTACTTCATAAAAGGTAAAAATCAAGATCAAGCTTGTTCATTGTAGAATGCCAAAAAATATAACCGCCATTTTAACGCCACAACCTTCCTTCTTATTAATTAACATGCTATTTCGAGAACGTTTCTGTTAAAAAAAAAACCTTATATCACCTTATAACGAGAAACTTCCTTGCATGGGTGTAGTTATTTTGCACCCCACCCCCCCCACACACACACACACTTTTTCCAAAGTCGATTTTTGTCCCCTGCAGTTTTTACCATCCAAAAACAATATTACACTATACTGAACAGACACTGGTTGAGCACTAGGACCAAGCGGAAAACAACAGCTAGTGTTGATGCCCGTTTACCAGTCAACACATTCTCACTACCAGCGCGTCAAAAACAAACGCTTGGTCAGCCACCCTCCGCGTCAGACCCCTGACACCAAAGTGCCCTTTTTCGTCACTTATGTGCGAAAAGGGATTTTTCCCTTTTCTGACTGCAGATCCCAATGCAGCGTAAAACTTACGCGTTGGGATGTCCACAGCCAAACAAGCTCATTGTACCTCACCCTAACCTTATCCTCTTGTTATTTAACCTTCCCCTCACCCCTATCCTAACCTTAACCATCTTGCTAGCGAACACATTAGTGATGTGTCGGTCGCTCTAAAAGCCGGCTCTATGAAGTGAACTAAGGGAGCCGCTTCGTCATTGGTCGGGTTTGGACCGAGGCAACGCGAGAGGGAGGTTTCAACCACCAAGGTGGAGGTTAGAAGTAGAGGGTATTTGTAACCTCCCCCTCTCCACATGGTATGTTCTAACATTCCCCTTGGGCGGCAAATACGAAAATTCACAGTCAGAATGCAGTGAGAGTAACATTTTAGGTGGCAAGTGGGTTAAGGTTCGGAAGAGGGTGAGGGGAAGGTAATAGTAAAACGTTAAGGTTTAGGTGCGGATATATGAGCTGGTTCGGTGCCACATCAGCAGACATCCCATCGCGTCAGTTTTACGCTGCATTGGGATCTGCCGTCAGAAAAAGGAAATGAAAAAGGGCACTTTTGGCGTCAGGGTTCTGACGCGGAGGGTGGATGACCAAGCGTTTGTTTTTGATGGGCTGGGAGTGAGAATGTGTTGCACTATTAGAACCGTCCATAAGCTCATCTATTGGCGCTGCTGATTCTTGCTAACGTGTGATTGGCCGTTCCTGCCACCTGTGTACTTGACAGTTCTGCATTCCTGACATTGCATAAAAGAGCCTCTAGTTTTTACATATTTACTTACTGTAAAGATCCCCCCCACACACACGTCTAAAGTCAAAACTACATCTGTGCTTCCTTGTTATTTAGAGATACTGCTCCTATATATTTTCATTTTGCTGATGGCAGTATGCTTCCATACATCTGACCACTTGTTGTATTTTAGATAAAACCAATTAAAATATGAGAAACTTCTTAATATGCAACCAAAGGTTGGGTTTAAAGCTCAGACATTTGAAATGTTATGTTTGTTTTATTAAAACACCGCTAAATCACGGTTTCCTCCAAAACGGGACATTTCTTCCATTTCTAATGCACAAATCAGAACGTGGGCACTATGACCCAGCAGATGGCCAACTCTTCGAGAGAGAGGAAAGAAAGAGAGAAGAGCAGAACGAGGTTGTGATGAGTGTTTGATGTCAGAGTCTGTATAAAGCCGAGGATTTGGGTTGGCTCACCAATCACCCCAAGAGGCCGGAAGAGCCGCAGCTCAGGAGAACTTCTGTCCTATATGCGGATTATCTGTGACATCCTCCCAGATGTTGCGCCACCAGGACGCACCGCGCAACGCAGCATGCTCATCTCTTGTATGAGATCAGAAAGTCTTATTTCATGGATAAAAAGCGGAAACAGGAATGGATATTTGTGATCTTGGAATTTTGATGAAAGAAAATAAAAATGAGGAAGAAAAGGGTTTAATCTGGCTGTGCCATTTCTCTGAGCGGATGGCACAGGCAGGGCGGCGCACATCCGGAGGAACGGACTTCACTTGGTGACTTTAAATTGACTGAAAAGTTATGGAACCTCCTGAGCCAACTCAACCCGCGAACGCCTCCAACGACAGTTTGATTTCGTCTCCATCTGCTGATGATGAGAGCGCAGAAAGCCTCGCCTACCAGATCAGCCTGGCTCTGATCCTCTCGCTCATCACCCTCGCCACCACCTTATCCAACGCTTTTGTCATCGCCACCATCTCCCAGTCTAAGAAACTGCAAACTCCTGCCAACTTCCTGATCGCCTCCCTGGCAGTCACCGACCTCCTGGTGTCCATCCTGGTAATGCCCATCTGCGTCCTGTACACGGTCATCCACACATGGACGCTGGGCCAGATCGTATGCGACATCTGGCTCTCCTCGGACATAACGTGTTGCACCGCGTCCATTCTCCACCTGTGCGTAATCGCTTTGGATCGGTACTGGGCCATAACAGACGCGGTGGAGTACTCCAAAAAGCGCACGCCGGCGCGCGCAGCCGGAATGGTGGCCACGGCGTGGGTGATCGCCGTGTCCATCTCGCTTCCGCCTCTCTTCTGGAGGCAGGTGAAGGCGGAGGAGCTGACCAGCTGCAGCGTCAACACGGACCACATTTTCTACACCATCTACTCCACCTTCGGGGCTTTCTACATCCCCACCTTGCTCCTAATCGTCCTGTACGGCAGGATTTACGTCGAGGCTCGGAAACGGATCCTCAAACAATCCCCGAAGAAGGTCGGGAAGAGACTCACCTCTGCGCACCTGGTCACCAACTCTCCCGGATCCGTGGCGTCCACCACCTCTCTGCAGTACGGGAGGCACGACACTCCGAGCGACACCGGCTCCTCCACGAGCGACAACCAGGTGAAGGTGACGGTGTCGGACGCTCTTTTGGAGAAAAAGCGCATTTCAGCAGCCAGGGAGCGAAAGGCGACCAAGACTTTGGGGATAATCCTCGGCGCGTACATAGTTTGCTGGCTTCCGTTTTTTATTTACACGTTGCTGGTGGCCACATGTGAGACATGTTTAAACCACGATCTGTTTGACTTCTTCACCTGGCTGGGGTACCTTAATTCTCTCATCAACCCCATCATTTACACCATGTCCAACGAGGACTTCAAGAAGGCTTTCCAAAAGCTGGTGCGCTTCAGATGCGGCCGCTGGTGAACTCGGAACTTCAGCCTCGGATAATATTTATTTCTTATTATTATTTAATGTAGACTCTGGAAATCCTGGAGGATTAATGAATTGTGCATGCAAAAAAAAAAAAAAAAAAAAAAAAAAAAAACACAGGCATTAAAATCGATCCACATCAAAATGTGTGAGAAAGGGAAGACATAACAAAAAAATCCTTTTTACGCACGTTATTAAATTACTTTCCTGCTCAGATTAAGTAATTTTATGTTAAATATTTGACTTTAATGGCCCAGAGATAAATAAGGTTTCATTTTTAAACTCTAAATGTTTAATAAATGACAAAAAGGTAATGATACTGCTTGTGCGTGATTTCTCTGATGAGAAGGAAGATTTCACGCACACATAAAAACCTCCAGCAGCTGCTGCTGTGTTCATTTTTGCTGAACAAACATCCCAGTTTTCCTGCGTGTCTCTTTGCTGCTGCATTAAATCTGTAGCATGTAACAGGTCACTATAGGGTCATTGCCTTACTGATGCAACGTTGACTAAGAGTTTGAGCTGCAGAACAAATAGCGAGAGGATTTGTGCAATAAAGCATTTTAAGTGTCTGGCATAGATCGGTTTGCTTTGCCTGAAACAGAGAAAAACGATACATTGAATAAAACATCCTGATTGTGTTAAAGGCTTCTTCCTGCTGTGGTTGTGCCTTTTGCTGCAGTTTGGTGTGTTCCTATCGTCGCTGCTTCCTCCATGTAATCAGCTGCTGTCAGAATCCAGTGAGTAATGGTGGACAGTGCTCATCTTTTTCGATGTCACACGGGGTAGTCATCATGTCAACTCGTATAAATACACCGGTTTCCAAGGCCTCAGCAGCTATAAATGGGTTACAGAATATCAAAAGCAACATAATTGGTAATAAATACTAGTTCATAGTTATTTTAACTGTTTTTCACATTCAAAAAGGCATAGAACAGAAACAGTTAGCTAACAATAGGTTTTGGTGAAAAGACTCATATTTTTCCTCACAAAAACATGAATAAATCAAAACTTAATTTCTGAACCTTGAATTGACCTCATCTCTAATAATTTCCCATTTTATGTAAAAAGTGATTGAATAAGCGTAATGAAATCTTAACCCCTTTATAGGGAACTCACTGAAGTAGTTTAAATTTTAAAATTTCAAACCCAGGGTGTTATTATGGTATATAACAAAATTATTCTTCTGTTGTTACAGTTTTTAATAACAGCTATTTATATGCAGAAAATCACAGAAAACAAAAGGATGATTTCCTGTAATTCTGAGAGTCAATGTAAAGGCACATCACCATTTTTTATGATGTGAGTGGAAGTGTTTAAATATAGACGCTGGCCCTTTAAAGGGTTTTAATGACATGTCAGAAAGGTTCTTGTCATGTGCTTTTTTTCTCCTTTTTATTTGTATGACATGTTCTGTATACTCTACTTTTCAAAAAGATTTCAGCAACAGGTGTTATCTTTTCTAGATGCAGATGGATTCTTTGCGCTGTGTTCTAAAAATGCTCCGATGAGCAAACCGGAACAGAATCAACCACAAGGCGTGTAAAAGATGAGGCAGATATAAAAGAGAAGCCGAACATTCATGACCAAACCTGTATTTTGTTTAAACAAATCCTCTGTAATAAAAAAAGTATATATATTTATTTATTTATCAACAAAATATGTCTTACATGTTAAAAAAACAGCTGTCAACAGTAAACTTTTGTTTGTAAAACATGTAAACAGACTCTTACGATAACAGTGACAAGCTCATAGTAGCCAATGGTTTATTAAATAAAATACTAAACAAATCAAGTTAACCATTATTAAAACAGAACACAGACAAAAGTTAACAGATGTTAGTGATAATATTAGAAGGTTTATCATTTAATTATATATAAATGTATTAATGAAAACACAGTACTTCCAGTTACATTTTTAAAACACCAAACTTTATTTATTACTTACAACATTACAAGGAAGATAAACAAACACAAGAATAAATAGGAACCTAAGAAATACCGGTAGATGAAATTTTACAAAAAATGTGCCAGGGGTTTGTCAAAGTAAAGAACACAATAATAACTTGGTTGGGATACTTGAAAAAAAAAACATTTTTAAGTTGTCCAAGTCAAAGCAAAGTCATCAGGTCATTAAAGCCATTCTATGCAACTTTTTCTTATTTTCTGTCATTTTCTTGAGCCAGCATGTGCTAAAACGACCCTTTCCAGGGTTAATAAAATGCCCCCCCCCCCCCCCCCCCCCCCCCACACACACACACACACCCTCTGTGGATACAATAACACATTTGCAACTTCAAATTTCCAGACCGCCACTTGTGGACTTAGAAAAAAGTGAAGCTCGCACCCTGCTGTCTGCTTCCAGCACGTTTCCTGCAAGTTTTACATCATGAACACAGCCAACTTTTTAATTTAGTGATGAACATCTCCTATAGACACTAATAAATGCTGAGGAGACATTTCAGCTGTTAGATTAAGGTGTTATAAAGACAAATGCACAGCGATGACAAAAGTTTCTCTTTTGCTTTGACCGCAGATGATTACTAACGAAAACTAGGGGGTGCTAAAAGCAACTAAAACTGCTTAGTGTCCCTTTAGAATCAGAGCATATTTTCAGTGTTTCCCCAGCTTTAAGATTGTGTGCAGTAGATAACCAGTGCAAATATACCCTAACTTCCATTTGTGAACATAAATCTTAGACAAAAGCAAAAACAAATTAATTGCATGACAAAACCAAGTGCGACTCCCACTACTGGAACCCCGAGGTAACTGCAACTGTTTAAGCAATCAGTGATCTGGAAAAAAGTCATTTATTACGCATATAAGGAATAAAACAAGCAAATAGATGCACATAATTACCAGGAAAATAAACAGGGCAGAAATAAATGAAGATTGTTGTCTTCTGATTATTATCAGCAACAATAACACATGTAGTTTTAGAAATTGGAGCTTTTAGCTCACTTTGGTTTGCATTTGAAGGACCCAAATCAGTCTTGTTAGATGTGAATTTTATTTTTAGGATAGGTCAAGATCTTAATAGCTGTAATGAAATGTCCCGTTGATGTCAACACAAATACAAATTGTTTTTTCTTTACGTCGTCGTCTTCCTCCACTTATCCGGGTCCGGGTCGCGGGGGCAGCATCCCAACTAGGGAGCTCCAGACCATCCTCTCCCCGGCCTTCTCCACCAGCTCCTCCGGCAGGACCCCAAGGCGTTCCCGGACCAGATTGGAGATGTAACCTCTCCAACGTGTCCTGGGTCGACCCGGGGGCCTCCTGCCGGCAGGAAATGCCCGAAACACCTCCCCGGGGAGGCGTCTAGGAGGCATCCTGACCAGATGCCCAAACCACCTCAACTGACTCCTTTCGATCTGGAGGAGCAGCGGTTCTATTCCGAGTCCCTCCCGAATGTCCGAGCTCCTCACCCTATCTCTAAGGCTGAGCCCGGCCACCCTACGGAGGAAACTCATTTCGGCCGCTTGTATCCGTGATCTCGTTCTTTCGGTCATTACCCAAAGCTCATGACCATAGGTGAGGATTGGGATGTAGATCGACCGGTAAATCGAGAGCCTGGCTTTCTGGCTCAGCTCCCTCTTCACCACGACAGATCGGCTCAGCGTCCGCATCACTGCAGACGCCGAACCAATCCGCCTGTCGATCTCCCGATCCCTCCTACCCTCACTCGTGAACAAGACCCTGAGATACTTAAACTCCTCCACTTGAGGTAGGACTTCTCCCTCGACCTGGAGTTGGCAAGCCACCCTTTTCCGGTCGAGAACCATGGGCTCAGATTTGGAGGTGCTGATCCTCATCCCAGCTGCTTCACACTCGGCCACGAACCTACCCAGCAAGAGCGGAAGATCAGAGCTGGATGAAGCTAGGAGGACCACATCATCCGCAAAAAGCAGAGACGAGATTCTCCTGCCACCAAACTCCACACACCCCACACCACGGCTGCGCCTAGAAATTCTGTCCATAAAGGTAATGAACAGAACCGGTGACAAAGGGCAGCCCTGGCGGAGTCCAACCCTCACCGGGAACAGGTCCGACTTACTCTCGTGCAAATTATGACATCACACCGGTTATTTTTATCATCTTGTGTCCAAAAAACTGTTATACAAAGCCATCTTTTTTATTACTCCTTCCATGTGGCACTAACTTTAACCATAAGGCAGCTTGTCAACACTCAGTGTGATAGCGACATATTGTGTGAAGCATGTGTCATCTCTGAGCAAAGGTGAGAAGCAGGTTACAGACGTCTGACGCTGAAGTACCAACAGGTTTCACAAAGCAGGGTATGTTGACAAATACATACAACAAAAACCTTTCCTCTTTCTTCTTAATTAGCTGAACCTGCTGTGTTGCTGACCGGCCACAGGGCGAAGGGCACAGTGGCATGCGAAGCTGAACACATGGATAATGAAACTATAGAATTCTTTCATTGTACATTTGGTTTGCAGGTTTGTTGTTTCACCTTTTGTGATTAAGGAGTGTTTGCAGTTTTTATCAAATGAAAAATGGAGGCACAGCAGGCCATCTGTTATTAATAAGGAACCTCAGAAAGGCAATAACAGCTGACCTTGACTGGTTGTTAAAAAGAGTCAGCGATCTCTTGGAAAATGGCCGTGAATGACAATCAAATGCCAATTCAACTAATTCTTTCTTTGATCTTCCTATGTTGTGCAAAATATACTGGAAATTTGGTTTTCAAACCTATTGGCAGAACAGTGACTTTTAATTTGAATTTCTGGAAACAACAACTTGATGTTAAGTCAAAATAAGAAGTAGATTGTTAAAGATGAAGCCATTACCTGCCTTGTTTATACCCACAAATGTACAGGCTGTGTGTTTGTGTCTGTGCTACATCACAGCCCTTAGTTATATGTGTTCTTTCCTTGCTTCACAGCAGATCCACTTCTAAAAGCAGTTCCTCTGCCTCTAAGCAAAGTGGGCTGGTTTAAAGGTTCACAGCACTTTACATTAGTTTCTTCTCCAATTCACCTCTCAGAGGCTTCTGAGCAAGATCCTCCAGCAGTCAAGATTACAATACCCAGTGCAAAGACTGTCTGGAACGGCTACAGTGTGAAGTCTGTCACATTTGCTTCAGTGAGAGTGTGAACCATACACACAATAAATGTGTGTGTGTGCATGTATGTGATGTGTGTGTGTGTGTGTGTGTGTGTGTGTGAGAGAGAGAGAGAGAGAGAGAGAGAGAGAGAGAGAGAGAGAGAGAGAGAGAGAGAGAGAGAGAGAGAGAGAGAGAGAGAGAGAGAGAGAGAGAGAGAGAGAGACCTGAAACATGTTCTTGCAATTTGTTCTGATCTTAGGCATTCTAAGGATTCTCTAATTGTTGGTGGATTTTCCACAGACAAGGCAATTAAAGATCATGGATATATTTTACAAGTGCTGGTCATAAAATTAGAATATCACGACAAAGTTGATTTGGTCAAGTAATTCTATTCATCCATCTTCTTCCACTTATTCCACTTGTCGGGTCATGAGGGCAGCAGCCGGTGCTGAGAGGCTTATACTTCCCTCTCTCCATCCATTTGGGCCAGCTCCTCTGGGGAAATCCCAAGGCGTTCCCTGGCCAGCCATGAGACAGTCCCTCCAGCGTGTCCTGGGTCTTTCTTTAGGTCTTCTCCTGGTTGGATATGCCCAGAAACTTCACCAGGGAGACGTCCAGGAGGCATCCTAACCAGATGCCCGAGCCACCTCAACTGGCTCCTCTCAATGTAGAGGAGCAGCAGGTCTCTGAGCCCCTCCAGGATGACCAAGCTTCTTACCCTATCTCTAAGGGAGAGCCGAACCCTAACCCTAACCCAACCTGCAAAGAAAACTAATTTTGGCCGCTTGTATCTGTGATCCTGTACTTTTGGTCACTACCCAAAGCTCGTGACCATAGATGAGAGTTGGAACGTAGATCGACCGGTAAACTGAGAGTTTTGTCTTCCGGCTCAGCTCTCTCCTCTGCACGACAGATCACTGCAGACACTGCACCAGTTCGCCTGTCAATCTCGTGCTCCATCTTTCCCTCACTCGTGAACAAGACCCCAAGATACTTAAACTCCTGTACTTGGGGTGGAGAAGGCATTCTACGCTTTTCCGACTCAGAACCATGGTCTCAGATTTAGAAGAGCCGATTATCATCATAGCTGCTACACACTCGGCTGTGAACTGCTCCGGCAAAAGCCGGATATCACGTTCTGATGAAGCCAACAGGACCACATCATCTGCAAAAAGCAGAAACCAAATCCTCAGGCCACAAAATTGGACTCCATCAACACCTTGGCTATGCCTAGGAATCCTGTCCATGAAAGTTATGAGTAAAATATGTGATAAAGGGCAATCTTGGCGGAGTCCAAGTCTCACCCGAAACAAGTCCGACTCAGTGCCGGCAATGCGGACCAAATTCTGGTCATGTAGGGACCTAGCCTGCATCAGAGGGCCTAATGCTCCATACTCCTAAAAGACCCCCCACAGGGCCTTCCAAGGGATGCAGTTAAATGCCTTCTCCAAATCCCCAAAACACACATAGACTGGTTGGGCGAACTCCCACACACCCTCCAGGACCCCCTAGGGGTATAAAGCTGGTCCACTAGTCCACGGCCAGGACAAAAACCTAAGTAATTCGATTCAAAAAGTGAAACTTGTATATTAGATTCATTCATTACACATAGACTGATATAATTCAAATGTTTATTTAATTTAGTTTTGATAATTATAACTGACAACTAATGAAAATCCCAAATTCAGTATCTCAGAAAGTTAGAATATCAATGCAGCAAAAGAAATTTTAGAAATGTTGACCAACTGAAAAGTAAGAGCATGAACAGCACTCAGTATTTAGTTGGGGCTCCTTTGGCCTGGGTTACTGCAGCAATGTGGCGTGGCATAGAGTCCATCAGTCTGTAGCACTGCTCTGGTGTTATGAGAGCCCATGTTGCTCTGATCGTGGCTCTTCTGAATTGTTGGGTCTGGTGTATTACACCGTCCTCTTCACAATACAACATAGATGTTCTATGGGTTTAAGGTCAGGTGAGTTTGCTGGCCAATCAAGAAAAGGGATACCATGATGCTTAAACCAGGTACTGGTAGCTTTGGCACTGTGTGCAGGTGCCAAGTTCTATTGGAAAAGGAAATCTGCATCTCGATAAAGTTGGTCAGCAGCAGGAAGCATGAAGTGCTCTAAAACTTCCTGGTA